CAATGACGCTAGGTATATTTAGTTATTTTAAAATATTTACAAACTTTAACTTCATATGCTGCTATAGTTTGGTGGCAAATATTTCTTTGTTTTGTTTCGATTTCACACATTCCTAGGCAAACAGCTGATTTCGAAAGATGTTTTCTCTCTTCCTCTTCTTCTTTCGTTTCGATCGTAACGCAGAATACCTATGTTCGATTCCAGCGGAGCGGAATGCGGGAACGTAATCGAAATGCAGAATAGGGCTGAATGGTTGATGACGTCATTTTTTAATCGGTTATTTCATTCACACACAGGTTTCATTCCGTTTTATTCACATGGCGGCGAAAAAATGACGTCACTGCAAAAAAATAACTTTTTTCTCGCACGCCGCACAGTGCCGCGACTCCATACAAATGATGGACAAAAATAGAAGGAGTGGTCAGAATTGGCTGAAACTTCCCACCTAGAAGTATTATGCCCCTCTAATTTCAAAAATGAAATCGGTTTTTCTGTACCGGTTACTCATTTCGAGAAAACCGAGTTTTTCTTGCATTTTTTATATGAAAATAGTCATTGTGGATATGTGTTGATATAAGTGGAAGGAGGCATCAGAATGGGCTGAAACTTTACACCTGAAAGGACTATATCACGGCAATTTAAGAAAAAAAAAACGTTTTTCAGCATCTGTTACCATTTAATTAAAAATTTTTTTTTTTACAATTTTATAAAAAGGTAAAATAACTCATAATCATCGTAGACATATGTTTATAAAAACCGAAATAGTATTCAGAACTTGTTGAAACTTTACACCTAAAAGGACTAAGCCATGCTTATTTCAAAAATGAGATCGATTTTTCGGTACCGGGTACCCATTAAAAAAAAAGGTTTTTTTTTTTTACATTACTATATGAAAGACAAATAAGGCATAATCATTGCTGATTGTGGTGTTTACGAAAACAGGAAGGAGTCGTCAGAATTTATTGAAACTTTACATCTGAAGTGTCTATATTACTCTAATTTTAAGAAAGTAATCGGTTTTTTTGTAACGGGTACCCATTAAAAAAACACCGAGTTTTTGCACATGATTATTTAAAAATGAATTATGGCATATCATTGTTGCTAAGTGTTCAGAAAAATAGTCTTAATAGTCAAAATTCGTCTAAACTTTACTTCCTAAGTGAATACATTATGGTAATTTGAAAAATTAAGTCGGTTTTCCTTACATGTTAACCTTTAGAAAAAAAAATTCTTTTGATTTCATTTAAAATAAAGCATAATCACTGTTAAGTAAGTAAGTAATAATAGCTGTTATATGGTAATAACATATAATATGTTAATAAAAACCGAACTAGTTGTTATAATCACTCAGTTTCAGAGTCCTCAGAAGAGGAGGAAGTGATCACTGATTCAAATGATTCCATGCTTTTGTCTGCTGCGTCACTTTCAACAATGTATTTATTAAAGCTGAGATCAGAACCCTTTAAATATTTGTTTCTCTGTTTTATATTTCTTTTAAATGCAACTAATGGATCTGACGATAATATCAAACGAGTCATTAAATCCGTATTGCTTTGTACTCTTCCAGTTTTTCGAGAATGTTTAAGCCGATATTTTCTTATGTTTTTGTGTGAACATTCTAAGGCTTCTTCTGATAATGAACCTGATAAAATAGGTGGAAATACAGATTAAGAAAATAAATGAAAACATAGCTTTAAAATCATTACTTATTGGTAAATCAAAGTATTTAATTACATCACATCCATGTACTAAAACTTTATGCACTGAACTTGGCATGTTATACCAACCATAATTTCTAAGGTATAACTCTCTTGTTTCGTTCAACAAAACACTAAACTCTTGGGTTTTTATTTGTTTTCCACAAGAGAAGACTCTTAGCACCAGAGAAAAATTATGGATTAGAGACTTATCCAGACGAGTAATTTCTGCGGCAACGTCAATATTTTCAAAAAAACGTCGAGCTGTGTTTCCATCATTTGTTGTTCCAAACCCTTGCTTGACTTGGTCAATTATCAAACCTGTTTTAATTTTGAACTCTTTTTGGATACGGGCTTTAGTTTCAATAAATTTAGCCTTATTTTCCATTCTGACTTGCCATGTCTTAAAAGGCAGACGGTAGGCTATGTGTAATAGACATTCAAAGAATCGAATCCAGCAATGGAGGGTTGATAACCCAAATTTATAATGATCTGGATTTGGTATTTTTTTTTGTTCAATATTATTCATTTCTGTTGGGCTTGCATGACATATGAAACATCTGCTTGAGGAATTGGTGTTTGTTAAAACATTAGCTACTGCACCGTCAATCATAGTGCAATGCATGATGTAGGAAACTTCAGCAATTCCCTTCTTATTTTTAAAAATATAACATTCCAAAACATTAATCATCTGAATTATTTTATTATATTCTGAATGAATTACCGCCTTTCCTTCTTTCGTATAAACGAATTTCACTGGTTTGTAAACTGGTGTCATTGCTCTATATATATATATATATGTATATATATATATATGTAAATCTTCGTATACCTTTGTTTTTGGCTCCCATACCGTGATGCATATTTTAATTAGCTGATAATTTTTTTCATTTCAAAGCACCCTGTACCTCTTAATTTTTTTTTTTGGCACTTTTAGCTTTAATTCAACACCTTATTTTTGAAAAGCGAACCAAAAATTTAGATCTTAGGGCATTCAGAAAAAGTATTGTAAATATAGATCAGCTAAAATAATACCAAAAAAAGGCATTTTGTCACTTTTTCAAAATTGAAAATTTTCAAATATTGGAAGCGATTTCGATTGTTTCTGTTAGTAGAAGGTCCAAACTACCATAACCAAAAAAAAAATTTCACGAACTTTCAAGATGTTTTTTTTTTTGTCTCCAAAGTTTACCAATTTTCGGATTTTGGTATGTTTAATCATATATTTATTTATTAATAAAAAAAAAATATTTGTATAAATTTTTTTTCCATTAACCATACATTTTTTGGTTTGTCGCATATATCTTTATCAAAGTGCAAAAGTTGATCTTGCTAGGAATAAAAATGTATTTTTAACAAATTTTTAACTGCGACCACTTTTATGTGCGAATCACCGAAATGAAATGGTATGTAGAAAATAGGTGTACTTTGAGGGGGTGTGTGAGGCTGAAAGTTGTTTTTATCACAAAATAACTTATGAACTTCTCTTAGTTGGAGATTTAGCTGTAACTTGACATCAAAACATCTAAGTTTCAAGACAGTCGATTTCTGTATTTTTGTCCACCTTCGCGGCACTGTGCGCCGTGCTGGGTAATCTTTATTCGTTCGTTCATGCACAACACAAGCTCGAAAGGCTGCTTTAATTCGCGAAAGAAAAACCCAATACTTAATTGGCACGATCTCTGAGAACAAATCATAGAGCTGTGGATAGTTTTAAAATATCAGTTGGGCTCCAAATCAGAAAAAAAAAATAAAATATTGGAATCGATAGAGATGATTGAGCTGAGTATAACGGTATACTTCTTTTTTTGGGCAAACAACAACAACAAAAATTATCAAAGGTTAAAGTTCAAAATAAACAATTTTTGGAATCAAGATTTCTTAAAAACGGATGGATGGATCTTGAAAAGTTTGATCTCATGTACTAGGAAATTTGATTCCCTTTAATTTGGTATACGTACTTTATATATGTGTTGTATAGTTCTTACAAAAATTTAATTAATGTAAAATAATTATAATAATTATTTATAATAATAATAATTAATAATATTTTCATAATTATTTTCACCGTTGAGAAGCTTTATTAACAAATCAAGCAAACTAAATAGAGTAAGGGTATTCATCAAACCTTATAAATGCATTGTAAACCGTATAAACTTATAATTTTGTAAACCTTATAAATGAACTGTCAAAATTTGTATGGAAACTCGTTTACACATTTCTGATAAATTTATCCAGCGATTTCACTGAATAAACTTGATAAACTGAAGACAATGCAACTCTGTCGCGACTCTAGCTATGTTTTCTTAGGCAATAATCGGCATTCGCGTAAAAATTTTGCACGCAAATTCAACAACGATATGATCCTGATAGAGATCTGGTTCAATTATTATCCCGTCTGTTGGTTTTGTTTCACTGATAATTCGCAAAGTTTGGTAGCCGTGACAAATGAATTCACACACAAACAGACATTCTGCCATTGTTTCTTATAACTTGCTTCAAATAAATAGCCTTTATGTTATATGTACATTTATTTAAATAGATATCTCGTAAATATAATTTTTTCCAATTTAGTTAGGTAGTTTCTATAATTTCTTTATCCCCGTGCTAGTAGTATAACGTTAGTGATACTGAGCTCTATAACCAAAGAAAACACGACTATTGTCGCATGTGTAAACGAAAAGAGAGTGTGGGTCGTTCATGTAACAGAGTGCGTAAACTTATAAGATTATCTGCTTGATAAAGTTATCGGTTAGATGAATTAATTTAATTCTACATGTGTTATTTTTGAAAAACTTAAATATAGTTCTGCGTCCACCAATTTCGACAGCCATACATAAAAAAACAACGAATAACATGAATGAAAAAAAAAACGGAATAGTTTTGAAGTCCAGCGGAGTATAGGAGTAGATTTTAAACTTTTTCAAAAACCGGAGTAAATTTAATCTGATCTTAGTTAAGTCCAAACACTAGTAGGGAACGATGTTTTTACATTTTAACGCTAATGACCCACAAATGGGGGGAAAACACAGGGTTGTATCAGACTTTCGACGTGTTTTCGAGTTGGTTAGCCATCTCAGTGAAATGGTTAAGTGCTGTCTTTTTTATATGGCGAAACTACGCTAAATCAAGTGGGTTATCGGGATAACTAACTCATTAGCCATAACTACGTGGTTAGCTCCGGTGGGGACATGGTATTAGGGTTTATATGAATTCCGTCATCTGTTTCTTTGAAACTTTCAATGCTAAAGATGTCTCGAACAACTTCGCTATTGTTTGTATCTGAAATTGGTTCCGTAAGAATTCTACAATTTGCCTTTTCACAATTATTACCAAGCGGAATTAAAAGAGGCTCCTCGTTAGGTTTACATGTACTGATTTTATTAAATTCATTATTTTCACTGTTCGTGAATATCAAATTTTTTGAGAAAATCTCTTCCCAAAAGTAACTTAAATAGCATTTCAGCCTCATTTAGAACAAAAAGTCTCAAAGGTTTTATAATATTTCGAAATTTAATTAAAACTAAAATTTCTCCTTTGGGTTTTGTTTGGGACTGTCCAATGCTCATAAACTGCTCTTCATTCCCCTTTTGTGGTTTATAGTGCTTGAAGCTACTCGGGCTGCCCGTATCAAGTAAAGAAACAAAGTTTATGTCCTGCGGGGCAGTTGCGCGGTTTGATATGAAAGCGATACTTACCATTTCTCTAAAGCTAACTGGCTGATAGTCCTCGCCTTCCAACGCTGCTACCGTCTTCCTTGGGCAGTCCTTGGAGATGGATTTAAAGCAGGAACCTTTCGGCCTCTTCTCTTGCCCGTAGTCCTTAGCGTTGTGACCGTAGCGTGAGCAATTGTAGCACCGCATCTCCTCACTTCCACTCCTCGTTGCCCCAGTGGTGTTTCGGCTCACGCGTTTCTGAACCATTTTTTCGTACTTTGACAACAAGGCTTTTAGTGCTTCTAGCGTAGACACCCCGCTGAAGATTAAGGCGTTACCCGAATTATCTTGCAGCCCGTCTACAATAAACTCTACCAGCTCGATTGGGCTTTCATCTTTCCGCCATACTCTAGTCTCTAATTTCTTAAAGGTTTCTTTTATGCTTACTGGCTTTTTAAACTCTTTGATGAGGGCGACTTTCAGCTCGCCCCAAGAGTCAGCATTCAAGTTCAAGTATAATTGAGCATTGCCAGTAAGCATGCGGCGTGCCAGTAGAGGCCTTGCTACATCGTCGTAGCCATAGCACTCAGTTATATTTTCGAAGTCGCGAATCCATTTGAGTACATCTGCTTTGTTGTCGCCGCTAAACTTTGCAATCGCATTTTCGATGTCGGAAAAGCTAACGGGCAGCTGGCGTGCCATTGCGACTTTTTCCAACTCCGTTATTTGCTTTTGCAGTTTCAGGAACTGCAGCTCGAGTTCCGTTAGATCGGATGTGAAGCCGACGCTGACGCCGACGTCTGGGCTTGGTACTGAGGTATATTGATTGGTTGGGCCTGAAGTTCGCTGAAGGTTGGCTATCTGCTGAATGGAAGTGGCGTCGCTGCCCATAACTGTATTACGGATTTTTGCCATAACGGAGGTATCGGAACGGAGGTGACGGAAGTAGCGGAAGGTTCATTATTCGCTACTGCTGAGGCTACGCTTTCGGTCTCTGCTTGTTTTTCGCCGGTTGCTGCTGCTCCTTGCTGAATGCTTTTAGTGCTTGGCGACCTATTGCCGGAGTTTCGCTACAGGTCCCTGCTGAGGTTATCTCGCTTAAGTGGCTTTCGTCCTCTTGAGGCGCGCCTACTGCACGTGCCAGCAAACTCTTTAGTTGCCTCCCGGTCGCTGTCTCAGGGAAAGGAATTCCCATATCCCCCAATGCCTCAGCTATTTGCTGCTTTTCTTCCATTTTCTTTGGCTCTTAACGATTTATTAATTTATAGTTTTACTTAGTTGGACAAGGGTTGCGATTTCGCACCCCTGACGCTGTAAACGTTTCACGAAGTAATATCGTTTTATTTCTTGCGGTATTACCATGTACATATTTTGCTTAATCAGTAATAGCGGCATGGATAACTAGCAGCGTTGCCACAGACAAATTTTTTTTCCTACCAAAATTTCCTACCATAACCAACCAAAACCTACCAAACATTTTTTTGAGTTTTAATATTTGATTTCAATGTCAAATTTTTTAAAAACATAGTTAACATAAACTAGTAAAACTAAAACACAACTAGATTAATAAAACAAATTAACTGCGTATAACGATTTATTTTACTGTACAGACCTCGTCACCAGATACGAATAAAGACGCAAGCTCAAAAGTTGATAGCGAAAAAAGAGGCGTAAAAAAAATTTCGGCGAAGAAAGACCATTAACATAGGTGACGGCAAATAAAGCCGCGTTAACCTCTTTGACAGCGAAGAAAGACTCATAAACTTATGTCCGCGGTCAACTATATTTTCGAGTGCAACAGTATTCTCCAGAACTCCCCTAAGAATTTTTCCGAGCTCTTTATTCGTGTCTAGTGACGATATTATTATTATTACTACGTCGAAGATACCCGCGCTGCGACCTAAGTAGATATATTGTGCTAAATCAGAATTGTAATAACTCCAACCTTAGGCTATTTAAAAAGCTCAGCACTTTGGATGAGGCCATGTTCCAAATTTGAGATGGAGAAGGCAATCGTTCTACACAATCTACGATTCATACTTCGTGGACAGGCACATAGAATATACTCTGGGGTTTCTTTCACCAGCCGACAAACCCTACAGTCCGTCTCTACAGAAGACCCATTTAATTAAAACCGTACGTTAACTTGCAGTGTGCTGTCAGGTTGCCAGTAAGAGTTCTAAGTTCAAGGTGTCTTTCGGAGCTCCTGCTGGAAAGAGTTAGGCATATCTTTGATTGTCTTATTCCTTTTGACTTCCGCCAGTAGGTAGCGATTTGAGATTATTCCCAGCTAGCTCCTAAGTAGGTCTGCAGTGTATCCCTTAGATGTACCAAGGACCATGCAAACACATTTGGGCTTCACGCTTTGCGAGACAGTCAGCACTTTCGTTGCCTTCAAACCCTTCATGCGTGACGCTATTGTGGGCTCGCAGGTGGTTCAAAAGTTTACAAGCGTTGATGCCGTTTTAAAAGACTCTAAGGCCTTTAACGCTGCCTGAATGTCCGACATAATATTTATTCTGGCCTCATTTGCCTTCTACGATGACATTCGCGAACACAGACTTCGATTGGGAAGACTTCCGCCTGAAATTTGGTTGAGTACGAGCCCATTGGCAGACTTTTCTGGATTCTTGGTCCAAGTACGCCATAAATTATATCGCTACCTAAAGGTGAGAAGGTGCCAAGTCCATTTTTATTTTCAAAGTTTAGTTTTTGATGCAGAATGAATACGAAACTGCATCGATTTTTCATCTCTAGCGAAAAATTTCTAAAAATGGACTTTGCACCTTTTCACCCTAAGGTCACGATATATGGATGTCCGTATTGCATATTGGCAATGATAAGGTATACATGTGTACTTAGGAATCAGGTATATTTACATGTTTGTGGCCGCCATTATACGAACGTACCGGTGAAATATTTGTGTAAAAAAGGTTGCTAAAATATTTGGAGATACGTACATATTTTCTATTTTTCGCAAATAACTATTACTCATTGTCCCTAAACCTACCAAAATCCAATCAAGCCTACCAACCTACCAAATGGACAAAAACCTACCAGTTTTGGTAGGAAAAGTCCATGTTTGGCAACACTGATAACTAGATATGAAACTCTCTCATTTTTTCTGAGAGCGCGCCCAGGAACTCGTTTTCGTACTTGGCAGCACTGCCAAACCCTGGGCAGATAAACAGCTGACACGCGAAGTGACGAGCTACCACTAGATGTGTGGAAAATGCATCACATTGAATTCAGTGGATTTCTTTTTCCCGCATTTTTTAATATTGCTATAAAACAGTATTTGTAACTAAACGCGATTTTACTGGCAATATAAACACTTAAATATAAAATAGATATGAAAAATATTGCAAGTTTTGTTCGTTGTGTTTAATCAAAAGTTTCTCCACAAATTTTTCTATAAATACCCATACATGTTTTCGTCACAGTGGCTCTACTGGAGAATGTTATAAAAACACACACTTTGATAGCGCTCTCACGAGAAAAAGAGTTTCATATCTAGTTATCCATGATAGCGGTGTTGCCAGATACTGTTATTTGTGGACATGAATTACATTACACGGTGTCTAGACTATCGCAATATATTTACATTATAAGGCGTTTACACTACTACAGATTTCATTCATTTATGAGATTTATCGCGATCCATAATATTCCAAATCAATTTTTGCATTCTTTTATCGCGAGTGAAAAATGCAAACAAATTTATCATCTCTCACATTCGGAATGCGATCGACAAAAAAATTTCCGCTGCTTCTCATTCGCGATCGAAAAAAGCAAAGAAAGTTCCTCTCACTCGAATATGAGAATTCCGAGCATTGCCGATCTCGGCCTCTCATAAATGAGAAAAACGATGCAAATAATCCATTCGCAATCACTCACAAAAGCTTATCGCGATAAACTTATCGAGAAAAATTTTCAACGAGGTTGTATGGGAGATATTTTTCGCGTTTGTGTTGGGTATGCATTTTGTTATGCATATATACATACATATGTACATATCGCTAGCTTAGAGTGAAAAGTTACTATGCCCACTTTTTATGAAAACTCATATTTTGATACAGGATGCTAGAGAAAAAATAAAAATAAATCGTTTTGAAAAGGGTAAAAGTCCTTGTTCATGTTTTCTCGTTTATATTGAATGAAAGGAAAATTTGCTAAGTCCAAAAAAAGCTCCGAAAATTCAATAAGGCTAAAATAGTACGAAATCTTCGAATAAAGATCGAATCCCTTTGATTCGTATGGAGTTTGCCTTTGCTTTAAGCAGGCAAAATGTTGTATTCAAAGTTTGGCGAAATACTGAAGAAAATTACTATAAGAATTTTTTTTCCTCTCCTGTACAATTTTCAAATAGGGGCTTAGCAACTTTTCACTCTAAGCTAGCGATATGTATATGTAAGTAATGCAAGCAAATGCTTTTCGGTTGGAAGGAATGTAGGAATATGTACAAATATATGAATTATGGAGGTAATATATATGTATATACTAGGGATGTCGCGAATTTGGAATTTTAGACATCTGCGGATGCGGATGTCTTACATTTAACATCCGCGGATGCGGATGCGAATGCGAATGCCAAGTATATTCAAGAAGCATTAGAATCTAGCATAATGGCGAGATCGTTGTTTAAACAGCGCTTGCAAGCCAAACCAGATGTGTCAGGTTTTTCCAAAGCTTTTTAAAAAGAATTCTTCATTCTCATTCCTTTGGTTGTTTCAGAGTTTGCGGAATCTGTAACTTCATCCGCGATTTCCGATTTTAGTTTTTGTAATTCATTTTCAATACTTTCTTCTGCGACTGGTTGGAAAAATTTGTGCTTATAGCGAGCTAAATAGGGGGATATGCAAAATAAGTTATTATTTTCCAGGATTGAAAATTTTGAACAATATTCTATTTTCAAAGTCGTAGCCGCCAGCCGAATCGGATCAGAATATTAGTTGCGTTCGACAAGTCAAAAATTTGTAATAGTTTTTCCAAATTTTTACTGGATGGCGTTCGATAACGACAAAAAATATCCAACACACAAAAATTGAGAGAGCAAGCGTTCATTTTGATGCAAGAGAAGCGTTCATTTTGTACTGGCAAAATTTTAGTCAGCAAAAATTATCAATCACGAAAACATATGATCACATAACATATGGTTGCAATTTTTGTAAACAAACCAAATTGCATTTTTCGAGTTTTGGGACTTATATGCTTTTTGGCTCCCTGCTATGTGACTTTATGATAGTGCCAACTAGCTTTTACTTCTAGAAATGTTTCTGTCGAACATTGAACGTTCACTTTCCTTTTTTCTTACATGGAGGCAACATGAATTTTAGTTTGTTTACAAATAAAACATAAACAAAGTAAGCTGGTGTGTCTTCTTCTTCCGGTTTTTGCAAGTGAGGGCTAATTTCCTGTTCGTTTACTTTCTCGCTTATTCTTCTCTTTGGGAGAGAATTTTCGCTTACTTGATTTTGATTGTTGGCTGGTGTTGGCTAATTTTGTTATCGAACGCAACTATTGTTATTAAAAAAAATACTCCGTTTTTATAAGAAATTGAATTATTGGAATTACGGATGACGAGGGCCTTAATTCTTATCTAATTAAAAGTCAGACCTATAGCTTTTTAATTATTTGAGCATCGATTCTCTTTAGCATTGATCAGTTCTGCTGGAAATCCCTATTGACGGAGCTTACTCTTTGACTTTAAATTGCAAAGAAGGGAGACGTAGGGAGACAGTTTTACCACAGAAGTTTTTAGCCAAGGATCCAGTGTATATCCATATGAAAAAATATTGCCCGAAAAGTAAACAAAATTACTGTTTTTAAAATTTTTGCTAGAAATAAATTCTCCAAAGAGGCCCATTTGAAATGATTGAAACGAATATATGTAACTAAAAGGCAAATCACGAAAATTTGGTTAAGAATAATTTTTTAAAGATTTTTAATCAAAATAAAGAAAGAAACCAATGCAGGTATTTAAAGTACAGAAAAAAATATTATTAAAAGCACTATGTTCTCTTTGATGTACTTCGAAGGTCAAGTAGAAGTGGAAACTTATATGACTGCCCATTGATAGCTCGGTTACATAGCTTACGAGATAATAGGGCGATTCATCAAAACGCGCAAATACCTCGTAACCATGTAAACCTTGTAAACTTACTTAATTTTGTATGAAAAATCTAATTATTTGCGAGGTTTACGCGGTTATGAGTAATGTGACTAACCGTACTTCTTTCGGAAGTACAGTACTTCTTCTTTAGCTCTCGTAC